AAAAACAACCCCAAATGGTTTCACACCTGCTGACTCAGAACAGAGGCCTTATCCCCTCACCAGTTGCCCCAGCACAGTGACATGGCCTAAATATTAATCCAGCCCCAAAGCACCACCGTCATCTTCACAGGCTCTAAAACTTTCCTCTAGGAGTAAACATAAAAATCTCACATTCATAATGAATCCTGTTAGACTTTTCCATGGGGTGGACAGATTACATGCAGAATTTATAAAAGCCTGGGTTTATTTTTGATCCTTCGCACAGTAGGTTCAAAAGCACTTGTGCTAAAGGCCTTAATTAACAGGAAGTCTCCCAGCTGAACAACCCCTGCCAGCACATTTGTTTTAGGAGCTGAGGATAGCAGCATGATACAAAAAGCATTAGCAGTGGTGGTTGTTTTATTGTGCTAACTTCAAAAACTTCACAAAATACTTCCCTATCACTCTTCTCTCTATCAGGCATATAGCGTTTGATAACCAGAGTAAAATATTTTTAGATTTTTTTTTTCTTTTGGCTATGATTAACTGCAAAATTGATCTAGTCTACAGCTTGCTACATGAAATTTATGAGATTTTGCATCTGCTGCCCTCCAAATTGCTATAAATCTGAAATTATCATTATGTAATGTGTCATTTTTATTTCACTTCCTAACTTGGATGAGAACAGTGGAAACACAGTGTCAGCCATAAACAGCACTTAGCAGCCTAAAGAATAACAATGCAAGATGTCTGATGAATCTTCTTGGAAGTTTAGGACTCAAAATGATTCCTCTTGGCAAAAATTAAAGTCAGGGAGAAGGCGGCACAGTATATTTCTTAAAAATGACAAAGGAATGATAAACGTTGTAGCAGCATGGAAGAAAATAAAATGCATATTGCAATTAAAAGTTACGTTTAAAGGTGACAAGATGGAAGACAACGTGCTTATTATACCAGTTGACATCTCTGTGTCAGACTGCTGAGGAAACCAAGATGCAAAGGGATGCAGCACCTGCACGGGCAACCAAAATATCCAGGAAAAAATATTAAGGCAGAAAATAAAAGCTGCTGGTTGAAGGATTCATCTGATTTACGACTACTGGGGGTCAGTCAATGCAGGTCTTACCCTTTTGCACTCAGGAGTGCCCAGCGGAAGTGAGTGGTATGAAGCAATTCCCCTGCTGAAGCTACGTGACTGTAAATGTCTAGGCACTGTTATGTTATCAAATTTAAAGCAAAATATGCTAAAAACATTTGCAAAATGCCCTTTTCAGTAAAATCAACACAAAGCAACTAAAAAAGTAAAATGTTTGGTAAATATGGCCTAAAGCATGCCTCTGCGCAATAAAGCAATTAATTTGGATATTCCTTCAGATTTAGCTCCTTTCATAAAACAGTTTAGCAAAATACTGTGAGCTCTGAAATACACATATGGAATTTCCTATGAGTAAATACAGTGAAATGAAGATCCTCAATTGGCAATTTGCATCATTCACTGCAGTATGTGAATAACATATATATAATGGGTAATATTAGAAATACCTGTTCTTCCTGCTTGCCCATTCATTAGAGTTCCTTGAGATTATCCATTCACTTGTAACATGACCAAACAGTCACATGTTACAGATGATATAACGGTATTTGCATAATGCCTGCAAAGCATGCTGGGAAGATACCAGCTACTGGAATATTATGCTAACTATATATATCATAGGCAATTATTGCTATGGAAGCAAAGACAATATTGGTTCTCTTACTTAAGCAAATATCTATATTCATTCAAGAGCAAGGACTGTGCAATTTTTAAAAGCAACAAGCCATCAAAACACCTCTCTGAATAAGTTATCAGGAGTGTTTAATTAAGAAAAAAAATCAAACAAGGCTGGCAGCCGATAAAGACTGAAGAATGGCATTAACTTCTCCATCCAGACCATTAATATTCCGTACACGTGTGCTGCAGCAAGATTGCTCTACAGAGCATCCCAGGTCATTCATCTGAAAGTGAGTTACTTACTGAGAGAGAATTGAATGAGGTTGAACAGCCAGTGATGTGTAAACTGAGCTGTTGCAAAGCCACAGACTGACGTCATACCCAGCAATGTGGAACAAAGAAAGCTTGATCTGTGCATTCGCAACATCCCAGGCAGAATTCAAAACAGCCGGCACATATTAATTTGCAGTATTGATGGGTTGGGTTTTTACCTGTAGCACTACTGAAGGCTACAGGCAGAGGCTATCTAACTTGCTCCCATTTCTGCAGTATTTGAGCAGATTCCTGAAAGAGCCCTTGGCAGCCTAGAGTTTTCTAGTGAAACTCTCAGTAAATAGCAAGAGGTGACTACCATCACCCTTGCCTGAGGACTGGCTTCAACGGACACAGCCCTGGCTGGGGAAGGGGGTATAATGACAGAAGTTGGCAGTGACGCCATTCTGTATCTCCCACAAGCAGCCTACGTTCAGCTTCGGATCAACCTGATCCAGAAGTCCTAGGTTCAGCCCTCACTAACAAGCTGTCTAGGCTCATCATTACAAGTGGTGACCTGCAGGAGGAATCTGAACTGCTGAAAATCAGGAATGATTTCCACAGCCCTTGTGAGTGCTGCCCATACTAACCCCATGTGCCTCTTCCCCCTCTCTAGCAGGGCGTCTATGCATTTGGGTGGGTGGGACTACTACTACCAACAAGCCGATGGCCCCCATTCTTTATTGTAGACAGTTGAGGCTCGTGCTTTGACACCCTGAGGTCCCTGGCTCAGTTCTGATCAACAGCCTGATGAAGGGCCTCCTTGCATGTCTGCATGGCTACAAAACAAACAACACAAATGCCACATGTGATTTTAAAGAGCTGGGAACTTCCCAGGACGCAGCGTCAGCTAGGGCAGTTCCCAGCTATGGGTTAGGTGCTTTGCCAACACTGGTGCTTATCTAATCAGTCCCCAGCTCATAAAGTACAACTCCCCACAACCTCTAACACAGAGGGTGGCAATGGTCTTGGGCAGAGCGCCAAAATACCTACAACTTGGACTAGTAAGATGTTGGTGTGCCAGGGGCAGATGGCAGGGGAGCTGCAAGGAGCCCGATCCTTGTTGTGGCAGCACAGCCCTGTCTCCTTCCCTGCTGTCCGCCCCACAGCGCACATGCCAAGCAAAGTGCCTTTGCATGTGTGCTGGGGGTTGCCTACCTCTCCTCTAACCTCTCTTTTAAGGCCTGTTGCTGTGAGCAGAGCCAGACAGCCCAAATTTCTTTACTATTCCTTCCATCCAGGAAGAGCACACACCAACGGCAGATGCTTCCTCAGCCTGATGAAGGGTTTTTAACCTGAAAGCTTACTAAGATATATTTCTCCAACTACTTAGTTGGTCTAATAAAAGATAACAGATTCACCCAAAGAACCTTGTCTGCCTGTGTCCTTAGACCAGCACGGCTACAACCTACACGCCCCACTTAACACCCATAAGTGTCATGAGTTTTGCTTTGAACAGTTTGAGGTGAAGTTTCACAGAAACCCCTGCACCTATCATGGCCTCAGAAGGGACTACCATCCTGGGCACATTTCACCCCAACAGTAAAGGTACACGATAAACTGCAGTGAGCCACAGCTGTCCAACAACGGCAGCACCACAAAGCTCCGACTCACCCTTTGGGAAAAAGTTAAGAACTAAGCCCGGTGCTTGGTCCCCTGTGTCTTGTATCTCTTGGAGTTTTTAGTAAAAAGGGAAAATTTCCCTCCCATTAAAACTGCTCTGCAAAAGGAAGTGAAGCTAGTTGCTCTTTGAACTGTCAGAGCTGAAATAAACTTACCAGCAGAGAGTTTGCTAAGCCAGAGCTGGAATTACATCCCTAAAATAACTTAGTGTTTGAACCCAGAAGGAACCCCACAGCACATCCTGCAGATACTGTCAGGCATTCAACCACAGATAATGAGAAGAGGCTTAGGCACCAGCTCTGAAATTAAAATATACCAGGCAGGCTGTTGCTGCCACACTGGCTTCTCTTCTGATCTGCACATATCAGAGTCCTTCCAGGCAAACACATTATGTAGGACTGCAATGCCCAAGAGCATCATATTCCACCACAGGGAACACCAATGGCTTGCCTTAAACTTATGGGGCAGAGGTGGGAGGAAGCCATGTGAAGGTGTGGCTGGAGCAGAGGATGGCAAATACAGAGGAGGCGGAGGATGGGACAAACAAAACTCGAGGCTAGCCTAGCTTTTGGACCAAGGGAAAAGGCAACTGGGGAGGAATATGTTTGGCCACCCTTGGCCTCTCCATTTGTTACTGATGAAAGTTTCCTTTAATTAACACCTGGCACTAACACAAATGTTTGCTTCCTTGAATTGCTGCTCGTCAGCATGGTGAACCTAAATGAGCAGGAGTCACACATTCTCTCAGGTGTTCAGCTCCCACTTCTACCCAGCCCACCATATACTGGGGAAGAAATGATCCATAAACACCTCTGATGCAGCATGAGGGCTCAGTTTTACACCCTGGTTCTTCAAACATACTGTGGATCAGGGTTTACACATCAAGCATACTGTGGATCAGCTCAAAGCCACTGTGGATCAGGGTTTACACAGTGACCTGGATATATTTTTGCAGAAAATGGATTCAGCTGCATACTAACAGCTGGCAGCAAAAAGAAAACCGCATTCAATGTATTTAGATCAATGGTCATGAAGGCAAACGTTACCTATTCAGCAACAGCAGGTCATCACTTCAGTGCCACCCATAAACATGTAATCATAACGCTTCACTTACTAGAGTCCTTCCATGTCAAACAGGTTCCCTAAAAGATGTTGGTATGAAGGAAATGCTACAGACCAGGCCACCCTTTCTTTCCCTTGTTCACTTTGTTGTAAGACGACTCTGCACCAATATATGAAAAGCCACAAGTGATATGGAAGGAAACTCATTCAGTTTCTGGTTTGGATAGATCCTGGGCTGCTGACTGACCCACAGCCTGTAAGACACAGGACTCAGGCTACACCATGTAGAATGAAACAGGGAGGAAGGCCTTACCATCTTCAGCAGTGTCCGGTTGTCTCTGAGGGATCCAACCGTCCCGATGAAGGAAACAACAAACATGGTGATGCCCAAGAGAAGCAGGATCACAGCTGGAGCCAGGAAGATCCCTTCCAAGGTTTTGTGCTTCTGCCTCTCCACTTCTGCATATATGCCAATGCACAGAATCACCAGACCTATGATCTGCAATGGAAACACAGGGGTCAGGCTTGGGGGCAGCAGGGTTACAATACAACACCAATGACACATAAATGGAAAAACAAAGAGAGTAAGGTAATGAATCAGAGAGTAACCCTCAGCAGAGTCCAGTTCCGGTTGCCCTCTTGCCATCCTACTACTACAGATGGTTGGAAAAGCTGATTTGCTATTGTAACCACAAAGAACAGGGGTCTAAAATCCCCATTTGCAGCACTTTGGCTCTGATGTGAGTACCAGAGTGAGGGGAATGCATCCAAGTATCTTTGATGATGTATCAAGGCTGAATCCACTGGAAATGAAGTTGATGAAGTTCTCCTGGGCAGACAAGCCAGGAAAACAAAAGTACTAGGCTTCCAAACTCAAGTTAAGAATGTTGCATTTCTACAGATCCCTACTTCTCCAAAAAGATGCAAGTTTGCAATCCAAATTTGAATCTGTTTTTTTTTGCAAGTGGGGGTGGAGTTAAGGGAATGGATTCAAACATTCGAAGGTTTGAAATCTGAACCCAAGAGTTGCCACTGAAGCCCCTCGATAGCTGACACTTACAAAAAATGAACCACTTCATGTGTGCAAATGACTTAGGATGTTGGGGGTGAGAACAGGTATGGAAACCCAGCACAGGAGCCTGTGCTACGTTCTACTGTTCCCTCCAGGAGCTGATGCTGTCAGGGCTGGGCTTCTGTTCCCTGGCCTGGGAAAGGTACTTGGAGCAGCAATTCTGCCTTAAAAAGGTATCTTATTGTTTCACTGAAGTGACAAAATATTGTATTTCTCTCTCTCTCATACACACACACTTACACACACACACATACAAACACACAGAAAGTGAAAGATGAGCTGGAGGCCTAATGGCAAGCAAATGTAGGGAACCCCAAAGGAGCTCATGAACAGGAGTTTTGAAGGCACTTGCATGCACATTTCAATAACGTACTGCACCTCTCTGAGCACCAAGGCAAACGCATGCAATCTGGCTTTCAAAGTTGCTGCGCACCCCCAACTCCTCCTGGGTTCAATGAGGACAGAATGTGCCCAGTAGCTGACAGTGCTTCCCACTGGGGCTGCCGTGCCCCCTGGGACCACCCGAGCCGGGTGCCTGTGGGAGGCACCACTGCCGCAGAGGGAAGCACCAGCCCCCGCCCCCCCGCCCCAGAGCCCAGGGACTGCAGTGCGCCCTCCCCTCCCCTTCCCTTCCTGCTGCTGGG